CCACTGACACCACTGACAATGCTCAGTTGCTGGTCTTTGTGAGTTTTTATGATGAGGCAAAGGGGGAGTTTGTTGAAGATGTGTTGGGCCTGACGAACCTCAGTGGACACACAAGGGGGGAAGACATTTATAAAGCAATAATGGGAATGCTGAATGAAAGAGGGTGCAGCTGCCTTTATTCATAAATGTGCAGCTCTTACACTGCGACTCTGAGGGATCAAGCACAGACACAATAACAATGAAAACTGCTGCATACAGATTATTTTTGTTTTTGCAACCTCGTGTTAAGAATCTTGTTGCAATTGTTTAAAAGTTTGAATGACCGTAATAAACGGACCTTTGTCTTATTGAAACATTTTTTTTGGACCTTTAAGATTTGTATTTGAGTACCCCTGCTATAAAGTATATTCATTACTCGTTATTCTCTACTAATAGTTCATTAAAGACTGTATATAATGACTATTTTGCACATCCCTTTCAAGATTTCAAGATTTTCAAAGGTTTATTGACATATCATATACACATGAATGAAAAACTTAGGTCACAGGTTCCTCAACAGTGCATTACAAGACATCTATCAATATGTGTGTATACCTCCACCATTAAACTGTCAAATTCTGCACATTTGTTATACTATCTACATACATAAGAGTATAATTAATGTGTATAATATCAGTTAAAATAAGTGCTTCAACATAGTTAACATTGCAGGAAAGCAATATATTAGACGTTAAGTACTTTGTCAGGCTTAATATTTATCTGTAGATACAAATTTCACTGTGTGTGCTGTGTGCTCTGCATGTGTGACCATCAATAATATTTATGTGTAGGGTACCCCCAAAGCTTTTTTCTTATTTAAAAGAAGACCTTAACCTAAAGTATTCTTTAATGTGTTAATAAAGGTTCATTAGTTTGTCTGTTTTGTACATCCTCATATTAATATCTTTGTACATCCGGCACTAAACTGTTTTATTGTAGAGATCACTTACAGTATCTTCTTGATTTTTTATATTCTATATTTCTATCATTCACCTTCTACTTTCCCCTTATGAAAGTATGTACTCTTAATATTTTTTTCATCAAATAACATTATTCAACAAAAATAACATTATTCAACAAATATAATTCAATAACGTGCTTTAACCACTAGGTTTAAGCTTTAAGTCCACAAGGTACACACAGCATACTAATAATAACTTTGTATTATTAGTGTAGGACACTTATGTATGTATAACATCTGAAGATGTGTAGTTTTATTCATGTTTTTACATAATTTTTACATAATTTTACAGGATATTGCTATACTATTTCTCATGTTTTACTTCTACACATTAATATCTGATTTGTAAAACATCACTGACAGAAAGGTATATCCGTCATTTAATGGTAAGCTATTGTAATTGTGATTCCATAGATGTGTCTTCCATCACCCAAATCCCCTGACTATTCTCTCAACTCAGTATTTACATTCTTATATTCAAAGAAAATCAGTAATATCTTTAAAAACTACAAGTCCTTTTATATCAGCTGTGCACCGTTATGGTGTAAATATAACCTATCTACCAATTGGATCAAATATAAAAGTCAGCCGAATTAATGTTGATACTCCAAGGAGACGTATTGTGTGAAGAGAAATTGAAGATGTTGTTTAATTGCTGATATATTTATGATCCACGTCACGTATTCAGTTTCGGCAGCAGTTCTTCCTGTTTGTCCAGAAGTCTTCTAATCAGGGCTCAATAAATAAAGAACTACGGCAGATGTGTAATATTTAATGCAGCCGAACTGTGTATTACAATGCCGTTATGTGATGACTTCCAAAGAGAAAAGCAAGCACACTCGGAATAAAGTATTATTTTCTTTTTTTAAATGTTTTTCGGATTTCATATCGCATTAACACCATATCCCAACGTGCATTGCGGCTAAACAATCCAATCACCGAGCTTCTAGCTGAGGATCTTGGGTAATCAGTTCAGTGGGTGTGTGGTGTGTATATCGCAATGATGCTCGAAATGTCCCTTATAGGCCTACGTCTGTTTCCGGTGACTTTATTTTGAAATTCAGTTCCTGAGGAACGGCTAAAAAGCCCGATATTATAGAATTAAACGAATAAATAAAAACAAGGATAATTGTGTGTTATTGTTGAGTAAATAACAGTGTGTTATTTAGAAAACAATAACAAATTAGAAGGAAAAAAAGATAAAAAAAAATACAGATTTCATTATTCTGAGGCTCCGAGCCCCATTTCTTTTACTCACAGAAGGCAAAAAAAGTCCGACATTATACGAATTAAAATAAAAACAATAATCGTGGCTTGATATTGAGTAAGAACCGGTAAGAACATGTTTTTATGAACCACACAGCTTCCGGTCTACCAAGACCCGACCGGACAAAACGTGGCGTATCATATGCACGCAAAACTCGGCCTCAGAACTCAATGGGAATGGTTAGCACGCAAAATCGGACTTCTGCGTATCTATTGCACGCATTTCCAATGTGTAAAGTCGTGTCATTTGTACGCAGACTGAAGAGAGTGGGTTGGTGTGTGTGCGTGCAGGTGCATTTGTTGGATACAAACACCTCTAAAGGTGCAAAAGTAGCCTGGTAAAAATGGGCAAGCTTTCAAAGGACTCCATCCATTCTCTGCACCTACCCCCTGGCGTACCCTCATCCCACCCCATCCTCACACTTATGTCTACACACACACACACACACACACACACACACACACACACACACACACACTCAAATTGGACTTCTATAAATCATTTAGCGACAGTAATTAGTACTTTTGTTATCAAAAACTGCCCAGAGCCCCCTATATCTCTGCAGTCTTTAATTTCCTTTTCTGCTCTTCCTTCCTCCCCAGGGAGAAACGTACTCATTCATTCCTTCACCGCTCGTCTCTCCCTGGACTGGTAATGGGGATTAAAGGCTAATTGAGGCTTAATTGAATAACGGATTAGAACATGCAGAGAGATGCTTTTTTCTTGTTGATTTCTTTTTCAATCTAACTTCTTCTAGGAAACATTAGTCGTGGGTACATTGTTTTTCCTCAGCAGTGACTATGCCACAGCTGCATGTACATATTCAGACCTTAGGCAATTGTCTGTCAAGTGCTCAATTTTAAAAACCTTTATTGAATATGTGTGGTCTTTGGAGTGATGTGTGAATTAACCTGCTTTCAAACATAAAGTAACACATGCTGTCAGTTATATTAATTGTAATATTTTGCCAATTTATTTATTTATTACTATTATTTTCTTCTTCTTCTTCTTCTTCTTCTTCTTCTTCTTCTTCTTCTTCTTCTTCTTCTTCTTCTTCTTCTTCTTCTTCTTATTATTAATAATTTTATTATTATTATTATTATTATTATTATTAATAATAATAAATTGTGTGTATGAGATAATTTTACCGGATTTCCAGAAAATCTGACGTAAAAAATAAATAATGTAAGTAGACGTCTTTTTGTTGACAGGATATTTCAATGTTAATTATCAAATATATAAATGATATAGGCTATAAATATATATATACATATATATTTAATTTGAACATTTAAAAACCAAATTCTAACTATAACAAAGCTATAATACATTTTCTCATAAGTCATAAATCCTAAAACAAAACAGATGGAAAGAGACATATTTTACATTTTTGCTAAAACCTAAAAAGTGTTACATTTAACTACCCACACAAATCTTTCTATCTAAAAGACATTTTCGTTTTTTATAAATTCGAGCACACTCTCATGCTCAGGTAAAAGGTATTTTTCTGATTTTAATCCAAACAGCCTTTAATGAAGGATATCTAGGGAGAGAGAAGCCATTAGTTGGTCCCATGAAGACGGGCTCAAATGCTGCTGTTTGGCTTTTTTGATCTGGCCTGGATAGACAGAGAGACAGACGGAGAGACACACAGACACACAGAAACACAGAGACACAGAATGTGATCTCAGGCTGTTTGCACTCATTATTACTTCCACAGCTCTAGTTCGCAATGCTCTTTCTCTCTCTTTTCTCTTGTGCCTTTAATGTCACTGTATCAGACACCTCCATACAAAAAGCAGATTGGGAGTCAGCAGGTGTGTGTCTACAGTATGTGTGTGTGTGTGTCTGTATTTGTGTGTGTGCGCATGTGTGTGTGTGCATGTGTGTGTATTAGAGAAACAGATATAGAGTGTGTAAGTGTCATGTACTGTGTTTGTGCACTACTGTGCATGCAATTGTTTTGGGGGGATGGGTGGCATCACCATTGCCATGGGAACCAGGGCTTGTAAAAAAGAAAAGTAATTTGTCTGGTTTCTATGGCAACATGCTACACAATAGCAGACCTAATGTTTAACGTATCTGCAGCAAGGCTAGTAACACTAATATCATTTTAAATTGTGTGAAGAAAATCATAGCATTAGCAAAAATAATGCAGAATAAAATGTGCATTTTTTGTCATACAGGAAAAGGGAAATAAATCACAATGCCTCATCACAATGTTGATACTATCTTTCTAAATGCCAGGCTTCTAATAAAAACATCTAACTGCAATAATTCTGATATTACCTTTTTTTTTAGTATCTTTAAAACCTCAGCAACTTTAACACATTATGATACAAAGAATATTTGTGAATATTAAAGGGATATTAAGATAGCCTATTTAATTACTTTTAAAGCAGCCAGCATTTATGTGGCTTATACATATTTCTTGCTGCATATGATACATTTCTAGAAATGTCAAACACTGTCACAAACACTGCCACTTAGCCTACTCAGCAACCTATGGACGGGGTGTTTCTCTGCATTGTAGCGGAACGGAGAGAGGAGGGGCACAGAACGGGGCTCAGAGCGGGTCGTGAGGGCGGTGCGAAGGAAACAAAAAGGCAGAGAGAGAGGGAAACAGTCCCCGGTTTGAAAGCAGGTAATTAGTGACGTGCCTTCCCAACGAGGAGAGCAGTAGCTGCTAGGAGAGCAGCCGGATGAACAGGGGCTCCGTCTAACCACTGGGGCGATGAGGAGAGGAGAAAACGGACGACAGAAAGCCTTCTGCCGCAGAGAAAAACCCAGATTAGGCTAATTTGACAAACCGCTCCACCGGCATCCCCGGTGCGTGCACACCGCGTCACCTATCCTGCGACTAATACCGACCCACCCATCAGGTTGTGTTGCTGGTGTAGGGTGGAGCTGGACACACGGAGAGCCGGCGGGATAACATCTTTCTCTGAATGCGTTTTAGATGATCTCCGTCATCACCGTGTCGGTTCAACCGTTCCCCTCTTTAGGTATGTACTGTCTGACTTTAGTTCAACTACTGTGTGTCTTCTCTGCAACCTGTCCGAGTGGACAAATAGAACTACTCGAATGTTAAGTCTGTTTTAGGAGGGAGCTTAACAGGTGTAATTATGAGACCACTTTGCCTCGGCGATGTTTTTTCTGTTGCGCACAGAGCCATGCAGCTTGCAGAAGGCATTGAACGCAGCAGGGCAGTAGCTATTAAATGTAAAGTAGGCTATCAGTATGCTTTCTAACCGCAGAGCAGAGAAATGCTGGCTCATTTTGTAGCTTTCTGTTCTTTGCGCTACTCTAGCGGATGAGCGAACCTTGGGGGAAAGCGTTACCCCTGTGATCGGAGGAGGGTTGGATTCTCCCGAGCTGGTGACCTCCTGCTCTGGGGGACAAATCCTGCCACCACCTGGCGTCACCGCTCCTCCAGCAGACTGAGAGCGACGGAGCCCACCGATGCCTCCGGCAGCCCCTGATGCTCGGCAGTGCTCCGGGGCTTTCCGGTCGGTGGGAGAGGCTGGAGCCGCGGCCGCGCGCTAGGATGCTGCGCCAGGTGTTGCACGCGGGCCTGAGGACCTCCTTCCACGCGCTCGGCCGGTTCGTTGCGAGCCACCCGGTGTTCTTCGCCTCAGCGCCCGTGCTGCTCTCCATCCTGCTGGGTGCCAGCTTCAGCCGTTACCGGGTGGAAGAGGATGTGGAGAGTCTGCTCGCTCCCAAGCACAGTCTGGCTAAGATAGAAGGCAACCTGGTGGACAGCCTCTTCCCCGTGAACCGCTCCAAGCACGCGCTCTACTCAGACCTGCAAACACCCGTACGCTACGGGCGCGTGATCGTCACCACCCGAAAGGGGAGCGTGCTGGACCCGGTTCATCTGGACACAATATTAAAGGTAAGGCACTAACAACAAACTAACAGGTTTAAAATGCTGAATGAAAGGATAATTAAAGTAACACCATTAACAAAACACAGTGAACGTTAAATAATATATACACAGAATGAAACATTAGCCATCAACAACAAGTGCTTAACATAATGGATTGACAATTTGAACATCAAATGCTCCCTTTTAATATTTGAGAGGCATTACATTAAGATTATGTTTTTTTCCAAGGCGACTTGCAAATTCAGAACAACAAGAAACATTCAAATACATTCACTTCATATAAGCCATACCATGTTAGTGTTTGTGCATCAGGTCTAACTAGAGAATGCAATTCCTGAAGAAATTGCTAGTGGGAATGCTTTATGCTGAAAGAATGAAGAATTTAGATTGAAATGATACATGAACACTGGGGGCTTGAATGTGTGATAAGAGAAGAAAAGAAAGTAAAAAAGCTTGGAAAAGCAGCAGAATATTTGAACTGCAAACTATTGAACTATCTTGATGACGAATGATCTGTCGCCATGGCAACGGTATTTGATGACACCCCATATACGCTTAGATGTTTTGACGGCTGCATCGTTACCAAACCTGTGAAGTTTTGGGCCGTTCATTTCATTTTCACTGAAGTTATGAGAAAACCGTGTTTCATAGCAAGCATTGTGTTGCCATGGCAACGGCAACGGCATTTGAAGACATTTCAAAACTGTCACGTACTTCACGGCTGTTAGCACACGTGAAGTTTGAGCACTTTTTGACCATTTTCATAGGAGTTATAGCAATATCGTGTTTTACGGCGAGGGATGCGTTGCCATTAGGGATGGGAACGATTAATCGAATATTCGAAATTATTCAGGTATTCGAATAATTATTCAGGTATTCGAATATGAGTTATGAATATTTTTATGAATATTTTTTGTTTTTTTGTTTTTTTGGGAGGGATGCCTAAGTTGATTACATATTATCAAATTGAATAATTCAATGTATACGACAGTGCCATAGCTAAATGTGTTAGGTGACGTCTAAAGGTGTGTTTTGCTCCGCTCACCGGTCCCTCACAGCGGGCAGAGCTGCAGGTGCTGATCTCTCTCTCTCGCGTCCGGTACTTCACTCGCGCTTATGTCCAAATCCATCAGATCTAGCTAGTTCTAGCTAATGATATGGCTGCTGCCCCTGCCTACACGCAAATCACGCAGACTCAAACCTCATCTTATGCCCAAATGCGGCGCAAATGCGCTCCGCAGCCGTTGCGAGGTTCCGGCGCTAACAGTTCATGAGCGTGCTCCCCTGCCCCCTGTCAACACTCGCGACACAAGAGTGGCCAGCCTAAACAACAATAAGCACTGCTTGGCAACCGTGTGTGGCGGCAAAGTACATAGACATTTTGACAGGAGAGATTTAGTTTTGCCGGTATTCAACATATTTGACCAGTCATAGTCCGGTAATTATTTACACTCTAAGAAGAGTCCTACACAACAGACATGGCGTCAAAAAGGAGTAATGTGTGGAAATATTTCAACCAGGTTAGTGAGTGCGGTGCAGAGTGCAAACTATGCCAAATTAAACTTATATATATACATACTATACCTTGCTATACCGCAACCTCCGTTCTAGCTGAGAGGTTCTTCTCTACAGCTGGCCTGATTGTGATTCGCCTCCGCACATTGTTTGTAGCCTTTATTTAACCAGGTGAAAAATCCCATTGAGATCAACGATCTCTTTTTCAAGGGAGACCTGCGGTACATTGGTTACACATAAAAACAACAGAAAACAAAAAGGACATCACAACATAATTACAGGGGTATAAATTAGCAACCTATTCACAATGACAGGTATCTAATAACATTTCAGCATGAAAGCTGTAGGCCTATAGCTGTCAAACTGTGATCACCAGTTCAATACATTTGACAAATTCGACTTGGTTTCTATACTTATTTGAACATGTATTTATTTATTTCCAAAAGATATTGAAAAAAAAAAATGTTAGAATTTTTTTTTTTACCCAATTTTTTTTTTATAGGATATGTACATTCCGGTTAACCGTTTTTTGGGGGGTTGAATATTCGAATATACATTTGCTTTCAAATTCCCATCCCTAGTTGCCATGGCAACAGCTTTTGAGGAAAACTCACTAATGGCACAGAGACATGTTGAGGGCTGGACCATTAACTGTCATCTGAAGTCTTGTGGTGTTTTGACCATTTTCATATCAGTTACGACAACATCGTGTTTTTTGGCGAGGGATGCGTTTCCATGGAAACAGCCTATGGTGAGATCTCAGATTTGGCGTAGAGCTGTTGAGGCATGGACCGGTGATATACAAGCGAAGTTTGGGGACGATCGGACTGTGTCCATTGGAGTTACAGCGACATCGTGTTTCATGGCGAGGGATGCGTTTCCATGGAAACGGCATATGATGACACCCCATAATCAGGGATGCAAACTTGTCACCTTTCGGCGAAATTCGCCGTTTTGAATCCAAAATAGGTAGTTTGTGTGATTCATGTAGATTTGCAATAAAAATATTTTTGGGGTATGGGGGTGTCTGGGACCCGGAGTAATCTGCGGCCGCGAGCTGTTATGTGCCATCATGACACGCATGGTGTTCTTTTTTTATATATTATAATGAAGCGCGAGCTGTGTGCTCGAGTCTTCCTGCCTGTCGGCTCTGCTCATGGATGTATAATAAGGCTCTGCTGCTCCGGGATGAGGGTCTAGCTTCAGCAGCTACATTACCTACGGGTGCGTTCGTTAATATTAACTGTGCGGTCCGGAGTCACTGTGGCACAGACTGGACCGCTGGTGAACAGCTGTTAGAACGGGCCGTTCAGGTGTTCAGATCAGAGCTCCCTGTCGGAGCGGCAGAGCGTGATGTGCACTGAAAAGTGTTCCTGTCGCAATATTATCGTTGAGCTAGCTAACTAGCATACATTGTCACTATCTGCTAACGTTAGCTTTAGCCTTCGTTTTCAAATAGTTTTTTTCATAGGCTATAAACGGAGGTAGTATAAGTATATATCTTGTACTTGAGTAAAAGTAGAAGCACTCAGATCTTGTACTAGAGTAAAAGTAGAAGTACTCAGGTCTTGTTCGTAAAAGTAGAAGTACTCAGATCTTTTACTTGAGTAAAAGTAGAAGTACTCAGGTCTTGTACTTGAGTAAAAGTAGAAGTACTCAGGTCTTGTACTTGAGTAAAAGTAGAAGTACTCAGGTCTTGTACTTGAGTAAAAGTAGAAATAGAAGTCCTGCATTCAAAATGTTCCTCAAGTAAAAGTAGAAAAGTATTCTCATCAAAATATAGTTAAAGTAGCGACAGTAAAAGTAGTCGTTGTGCAGATTGGTCCATTTCAGAATAATATATATGATATGTTTTATAATGATTGATCATGAAAGTGTTCTCAAAGCTGGTAAAGGTGCAGCTAGTTTGAATGACTTTGTATACTGCAGGGTAGCTTGTGAATTTACTCCAGGTGGAACTAAAGTCTGATTTAACACTTGATTATATTTCACATCATTCATCCACATCTGTAAAGTAACTAAAGCTATTAAATACATGTAGTGGAGTAGAAGTACACCATTTACCTCTGAACTGTAGTGGAGTAGAAGAACAAAGTAGCAACACATTGAAATACTTAAATAAAGTACAAGTATCTCAAAATTGTACCCAAGTATAGTACTTGTTGAGTTTATGAACTTAGTTACTTTACACCACTGGCTATACAGATAGAAAGACTAAGCCTTGCACATAGGCATGAAAATACATTTTCAAAATGCTCAACAGTGCTGCCAAAATTATAAACTGACTGCTACACAATTCAAATAAATGCTTTTATACATTTCTATTAGATGTGACTCTTTGGCGTTTCTGTTATTATTAACTGCTTTAGTTGTTCTGACTGCTAAAATCCTCTGTTATTCCTCATTTTAAAGCCGATATTCCATGGGGTCGGGGGGCTCGGATCCTTGTCACCTTTTTCATACCTGATGAGTTTGCATTCCTGATAATTGACATAGAGCTGTTCAGGGCCGGACCATTAACCATTATCTGAAGTCTGGTGCTGTTTTAGACCATTTGCATAGGTATCACGACAACATCGTGTTTTATGGCGAGGGATGCGTTTCCATGGCAACAGCCTATGGTGAGATCTCAGATTTGGCGTAGAGCTGTTGAGGCATGGACCGGTGATATACAAGCAAAGTTTGGGGACGATCGGACCGTGTCCATTGGAGTTACAGCGACATCGTGTTTCATGGCGAGGGATGCGTTTCCATGGAAACGGCATATGATGACACCCCATAATTGACATAGAGCTGTTCAGGGCCGGACCATTAACCATTATCTGAAGTCTGGTGCTGTTTTAGACCATTTGCATAGGTATCACGACAACATCGTGTTTTATGGCGAGGGATGCGTTTCCATGGCAACAGCCTATGGTGAGATCTCAGATTTGGCGTAGAGCTGTTGAGGCATGGACCGGTGATATACAAGCAAAGTTTGGGGACGATCGGACCGTGTCCATTGGAGTTACAGCGACATCGTGTTTCATGGCGAGGGATGCGTTTCCATGGAAACGGCATATGATGACACCCCATAATTGACATAGAGCTGTTCAGGGCCGGACCATTAACCATTATCTGAAGTCTGGTGCTGTTTTAGACCATTTGCATAGGTATCACGACAACATCGTGTTTTATGGCGAGGGATGCGTTTCCATGGCAACAGCCTATGGTGAGATCTCAGATTTGGCGTAGAGCTGTTGAGGCATGGACCGGTGATATACAAGCGAAGTTTGGGGACGATCGGACCGTGTCCATTGGAGTTACAGCGACATCGTGTTTCATGGCGAGGGATGCGTTTCCATGGAAACGGCATATGATGACACCCCATAATTGACATAGAGCTGTTCAGGGCCGGACCATTAACCATTATCTGAAGTCTGGTGCTGTTTTAGACCATTTGCATAGGTATCACGACAACATCGTGTTTTATGGTGAGGGATGCGTTTCCA